TCATCGACTTACACTCACTCACTATATACCAATATCGCACACCTTCGTTCCTCGTAGAGACTTCACTTGCCACTCAAATATAGCATAGTTTTTTTTTGCCTTGGTCTCATTTCGGGTCTGCCATCCGTTTCACTCCGGATCCCTGCCACTCCCCGGCTAGCGTGGTTCCTGATGTGAGCGCGCATCAAACACATTCGACGTGAACACAGCTCTAAATGGCGGGTGCGCACACAAAACACGGACGATGGCGTTATCAAACACCGTAGAAGGCACGGTTGCATTGCATGGTCGAAGGGTAAAGAACCAAGGTCGGTCACCAAACACTATTTTTCAGCCGCTGGGCAGGCTATCATACCGTAGCACTCACACGCTGCTTCACGGCAGCTGGCGCTAGAATCGATGAGAGTGGGGATATCTACTCACCATGGCGATAGTCCTGACGGCATAGACGAACATAATACCTGACATGCAGGGCGGGCAGAGCCCGTCATTCTGTCTCGGCTCGGATAAAAGCACCGAGGACCACTGAGCTCTTTTACCGATAAGGCCGCAGTAAATTCTGCGACGATCGAATAAACTCTTCGGGAATTTCGGCTTGAACGTGTCGTCGTTGTCGTCGTTACAATATATATAGTACCTCCGGAGGCGTGTATGCGCTCCTCTCTGACGGTCAATCTAGAGAAAACAGTCAACAGTAGTGGTAGTGTAATGGTGCTTCTGTGAACTTTGGTCCCAGGTCCAGGGTCCTGTTGTCATTGTCTACTAAATTTGGTTGATTGTGAAGGACAACTGCCGGAGCTATAAATGGACTCGCTGCCCCGCGCCCAAAGACCATACGGTGATGGCACAGACACAAGGCGCTGGGACATCGAAATATGGGCCACTTTGGCCAATAGCTAAATCTGTCGGATAGTGTGAGACCAATGGTGACATCGTGTTGGCAATGAGGCAGATGCAGACCATTGATGGGCGTCTCCTAGACTCTCACTTCGATCCACAATCCACGACGACGACCAACATAACCTGTGCACTGTGCACTGACCTTTCATCGCATCATCAAAAGGGCCCTAGTGCCACCGCTGTCTTTTATATAACTCCACGTCCACTGATCACAGCTGCACTACTCTTAACTCTTGAGACTTCATCCTTCCCATACCATGAGCGACCCAGGTGAGCCAATCCCTCCACCCAACTTTGTAAGGGTTCCAAAATACTCTCGTAGACCATCCGGCCCCATATGCGTATGTGAACCGAATGACAAAACAAAGTCTACGATCGGCTGTTCTTCCACGTACGTTCACCCACTACGCCCGTATTGCCAGACCCTCAGTCGGTTCAACCCCTGTGGCATATAGTCGCATCCCTTGGGGCCATCTGGACCCTTATATCGTAAGATGTTCAGCTGTACTTTATATCTCATGAGAGGCTCACTAGACTTGGCGTATTTTATGCGACCAAAGTGCGGTGAGTTGGCGCCCTTGGCGTTCTGGTGAAGAATGTGCGATTGACAGGCACCTTGATCAGATTTCGCTCTTTCAAGAGCTCAGTACGGACCGGGCGCGTAAGTCCTTGTCTCCTCCCTTTCAATGCAGTTCTTTTAAGCTTTTGCCTGCCAGAGCATGAGAAAAGGCTCGCCACGTTTGCAATCGTGCTTGGCTCATTATATGCAGGAACTTGCGCCATATTCATCTTCGGCATTGTCGCAGCTGTTACTGTATGTCTCTATTGAAAGCGGTTGTCCCCTGTTCACACCATTGAGCAGAGGCGCCTCGCCTTGATTCGCATCTTCTCTTTCCTGGCCATCGCGGCCACAGTCATCGTGATTGCAGCTGGCCTGCTACGAACGATTGTCCACTTTATGCTGAAGGTGTGTACTTGGCATTACTGCCGTTTCTTTGGCTCATAATGATCATACAGAACGACCTGATTTCCGAATGTACTGAGCTCGCTCAAGGCGCGAACGTGGTTTTCCGATGGGGTATCTGGTCCGCAGATCCCAAGGACCACCTCACACGTGATGAAGCCGATAAATGTTCGTCACTTTTGGTGTATATCGTCAAAGCCCTAGCTCACACCGTTTTACAGTCTGCAGGAGCGCCTGGGATCACGACTCTTTCTCGGAGATAGCATGGCTCATTGGCGAGATTGGTACGTAGCTTCTGCCAACATCTTCACTTCACCGGTATCCTAACCATTTTTCGCAGCCCTCATGTCTTTATTCTCCGTTATCGCCTTTTCTTATGCACAACAAGAGTCGGCCCTCGTCTCTGGCGCTAGACGCGACCGCCTTCCTGCGTCGTACGCTCCTGCGTATGGCGCAGGCCCTGGATACACGGCAGGCGATGAGAGCAATTTAAATCTACCCGAGGTGCAATACAACCAATCCTACGCCCCGCCTCCCGGTCCTCCGCCTCCTTTCGACAGGAGTCTGCCAGCGTATGGTGTCGACGAGAACGACAAAAAGGATCTCGACCCGGTGAAGACCGCAGATGATCCGTTTGCCGACTTCGAGGATCACCCACGTCGCTGAGGTCGTCAGGAGATCTGTGAGCGGAGCGGTACGAGCTGTGGGTGACTCTGAACTGGTATATGTACTCATTTTGTCTGCTACGTATTTCCGTCGAAAACAACCATTTTTAATGCTTGAGTTGGGAGATCATTGGGCCAGCAGCCCACCAGTATACATGACCCGTGTTAAATCTATGGAGACGATAGGGGAGTGTCTGTACTAAGCACGATCAAGTCAACCAGCGGCCTGTGTCCTCTCGAGTCTCTTATTCACGGCCACTGGTTGGCCGCTCGCAGGATGCGCAAGGTCCGCGAGCCGTGCCTCGCGCATGCGCAACAACAACTGGGTCAAGAAAGCTGGCGTGACGACGTCGTCCCCGCCGCTGTTTTCCCCCGCGCTGTTCCCGCCGAGCCCAGACTCGGGCGCTGCATCGGAGTAGCGTCCCCAGAGCGTGTAGAGCGACAGGATCTCCTGTGCGATCATTGCGACCGTGGGCAAGGACACGCGGAGGCCCGCCATGAAGCCGACAAAATCTTGCTGCGGCGCAGGCGCAGACTTGCGGTGCGCGCCGCCGGAGGTCGTGCGCGAGGAGCGGCGCGGCGGGGGCACGGGCGCGCCCTGCGCCTGGATCGCCTCGCGCGTCTTGTCGTTCAGCACGAGGGTGAGGTAGATCGCCGCGATGGCGATCATGTGCGGCGGGTAGAGGAGACAGATCTCCGAGCGGTACGTGTCGTTGATGATGAACCTGTGCCGACGCGTTTAGGTCTGTGCCGTAGAGAGCGCGGTACGGAACGAACGTACCATGCGGTCTGCAGCGGCCCTTCTTCGAGCTCGAGTCTCCCCTCGCCGGTGCCCCAGTATCGCGGACCGCTGTCGATCCCGACGCCAACCTCCCCCGCTTCGGTGTCGAGCGCACAGGCCGACTCTCGTCCGCACAGAGTAAGGAGCGTGCGGTACGGATGGAACACGACCAGGTCGCACTCGAGGTCGCTCACGAGATAGAACTCCATCTCCGCGAGTTTCGAGTTGTCCGAGGGAAAATTCTTGATGCCGTAACCCTCCTCTGCTCGTGCAGTTGAGCCAGTGCGTGTGGAGATAAGAAGCAGGGCAACACGTACGGCTGAACATCTTGCGCGATTCGGAGACGACGTTCTTTATGTGGACCGGGGATTCTTCTGCCTTGGCAGCGACGTAGCAGCAGGCAGCTATCACGATAAAAGGGTCCGTCTCGCAATACAGGTTTTTGACGTAGAATCGCCTGAAAAAGACCGTCGCGGTCGCAATGACCCTTTGCCGTAGGGACAAGAGTTTTCCCAGCATCCCAATGACTGCCACAGCGCGTAAGCATCTGTGAGTGAGTGAGTCGAGGTGGCGTACGATTCGCGAAATAAATGTTCAGCAAGTCGATGTGGTCCGGAGAGGGGACATATTGAAGATCTTCGGCACGAGCCTGCTTGAGCGTAGCACGATCTACAATCCAGCGTTTGCTAGGAAGCGTGTTATCCGAAAATCGAGTAATAGGTACAGGAACCTACTTGTGCGAGCTTGCCCAGAAGTCGGTGGCCATCGAAGCATGACGCGGACGAACGTGGAACCGCTGTTTGGTGTTTGGTGCCCCACCACCACACAATATGCCCACGACTAAACCAACCGCACCACGAAAGCGTAATCGAAAGCGCAAGCGGCGCTTGGCCTCGTCATCATCTTCATCATCGTCTTCAGATTCCGCCTCATCGGTTGAAACACCAGTCAAAAAGGCGCCTCTCAAAAAACAAGCTACGCCATCCTCAGCCGAGGAGCCGTCCTCGTCCTCGTCCTCATCCCCATCTTCGCCTTCATCATCAGATTCGGAAGACGATGCACTTCACGAGTCCAATGCACTACCAGCTGTATCTCGGGTTCCCTTTGTGAAAACCCAGGGCTCCGAGCGCATCAAGGCCCAATCTCCTTCTCCTTCTCCACCGCCTGGCGACCTGCCACCATTCTTACCTCCAGAAGGGTCTAGTAATCGAGCCGAAGAGGAGCAGGCTTTGCGCAACCGATTCCGACAATTTTGGATGGCGTCCGTGGCAGATGCGTTCAGTGATGATCTTGAGCGAATTCGCAAGGTGCGGCAATATTATTTGGCGCACCCTTCTACCTTTTTCCCATTATGCCAATCTGAAGGAACCGAGCATGACCAAATCACGCCTTGCTCTGCTAATAGACTCTCTCGCTTCTGGTGGCGAGGTCTTCTCGTCGCACGCGGGCGAGAGAGGGGAAATGAATGAGATGGAGGTTGTATTAAGTAGCAACCATGACGACTAGACGGTAAGCGAGTCTGTCCAGTGATACCGTTTCACCACGCCATCATATTGAAGGAGTATCACGTCGATAATGTGTTTCGCCAGTTGGAGTGTTCGCTACAAAATCTCTGATAACAATAGAGCAAGCGCTGGCGAGGACGAGGCGCGTTCAACGTGTGAATATATGAAATTAAAAGCGTTATGCCGGCGCTATAGTGTAGTGGCTATCACAACGGATTCTGACTGTTTGCTGATTTCCGTTAACCCAGGTTCGAACCCTGGTAGCGCCTTTCTTTTTCTTATCATGATGAGGCGGAACGAAGCATGGCACAGAAGACGCCGAAAGAACGGCTCGGACAGTCCAGTTCATGCAGCGCTTCCTTCATCACCACCACCACCTTCTGATACCCGGCTTAATACAATAACGTCAACTCTATTTCGGGGCACCATTGTCTCTACCATTTCGGAGTTGGTCATACGAATTCTCTCCCGTGGATCATTGGTACTACGAACACCGACTCCACGTCGTTGGTTGTGTCAGGCGACTATTGAAAGCATACCTGCAAAACAAGTTCAAGCGATGTCTGAGGCAGTTGTATCAGCGAAGTCCAGTTCAGCACCGTCAAGCCTTCTTGAATTCCTTAGGGTACAAAAATCCGGGTATCTCCAGGCTTTAGGGAAGGGCGATACGCAAGATGATCAATGGACGATATCTTTGGGCAATGAAGCCGGCGGTATGCCTTGGCCATTGCTCCTGATGGAACGAGCTAATCTACTCGCAGATCTTGACTCGCTAGCAAGTGCCGTCGCCTACGCATGGTACGCTACCCACCATCTCGGGCAATCAACGGTGCCGCTTCTACAGACGCCTCGTGCCGACATCCCTCTCCGCGCGGAAAACCTGTATGCCCTTGATTTCAGTGGCGTGGATCCATCGCACCTACTCACGGGCGACGAACTTCCGACCAAGGCAGCCCCCGCGGAGAAATATGCATTAGTGGATCACAACACACTCGCGGGGCGATTCGCAGCTTATGAGCGCGTACGCGTCGTCGCGATCATAGACCATCACGAGGACGAGAAGCATCATCTTGATGCGTCACCACGCATCATCGAAGTGCCCACGGGCTCATGCTCATCTCTGGTTGCTCGATTGATAAAGAAAGAGTGGCCCGAGGGTATGAGCCGTGCAGTCGCCCGGCTGTTGCTGAGTGCTATCCTGATTGACACTAGCGGACTCAAGGCTGGCGGGAAGGCAGAGGCCGCAGATCGGGAAGTCACGCCATTTTTGCTCGAGAAAGCGGAGCTTACGGGCGTAGGTGTCGGCACCCTCGTAGACAACCAAGGAGTGAAGGGGGTAAAGGAACTTACTAAAACACTGGAGGCCAAGAAGGACAGCGTAGACCATCTCGGACCGCGCGACCTGCTGCGAAGGGACTACAAAGAGTACCGGTTCGTGCCGTCTTGGAATGCCGAGAGCGCTCTTGTTGTCGGATTGGCGAGCGTGCCGAGAGGTGTCAAGGAGATCAGCAGGGGTGACGAAAAGGGTGGAAAGGTGCTAGGTGTAGCATGCGTCGCGTGGCTACAGGAGAAGGGTCTGGATATGCTCGGCGTCCTGACGAGTTGGAAGGACAAGGGAAAGCATCGGAGAGAGATGGTGTGGGTTGTTCGGGACGACAAGGAGGTCAAACAACGCCTGTGGAAAGGATTAGAGGGAAGTGAGGAGCTAAAAGTGGAACGGAAGGAGGGGAAAAAGTATGTGGATGGGATGGAAGAGGGAGTCGGGAAAGGATTGAAGGTGAGGGTGTATGAACAGGGCAACACGCACGCGACGAGAAAGGTGACAGCGCCTCTGATTAGGGCGATCGTTGAGGGGACTAGCAAGGAGACTAGCAAGGGGACTAGAGTAGACTAGACTGTTTGCTAGTCGGCTGTTCCGCCTGTTAAGTAGTTACGTGGACGTAATTAAATACGTAATAGCCTCTGAATTGCCTCCTTTAATCTTAGTTTCCCGTTCTCTCCTTTCCACCACCATCTCCCACTCCTCTTTCCTCTCTTTTCGTTCTTCTTCTCGTACGGTGCAACGTCCCGCTCATCCAGAATGGACGCACCGTCTCCCGCCATGGAGGATCCCGCTCCCACCGCAGCAACACCCTCGGGTACCGCTCCCCCCTCTTCCAATCAACAATCTTCGACGCCCAAATTCTCAAACGGACTGTCAGCCCCTCCCCCCTCCGCCCTTCCTTTTTGCTTTGTCTAATGCCACGCGTTTCTAGGCATATACGCTCGCGTATAACAGTCGTATGCGCAGAGGTCCGTCGGCACGGTTTCGACTCGTCCCCGTTCTAATCATAGCCTAGTGCAAGCGTCTCAAGCTGAGGTGCGATAGACGTAATCCTTGCGGTTCCTGCGTAAAGCGGGACACCGTTCAACGCTGCCAATACACCGCGGCGGCGGCAGAGAAGATGTTCGTTCTCTATTACTGCGGTCTTCGTTTCTCACTGACCCCCCATCCCCAGTGACGTCCAGTCGCTGCACAATCGACTCCAAATAGTCGAGTCTCAGCTCGCACAGATCTTTGCGGGAGGGCTTCGTGTCCCCACCACAATTACCAGCACCTCCTCAGACAACTTCCCGTTCCCCCATAACGACCACATCATGCTTGCCGTTGGCAGCTCTGGGTCCTCTGTCACCGTCTCCCTTGACGACGTCGCCGCGCTTTGGCTAGAGCACCTAGAGTTCCCTCGTTCATATCCCGCCGAGACAAATCTCTCGTTTACTCCCAGCTCCTCTTCGCCTTCTGCCCCTGTCAAACTAGAACCCCTTTCAACAGAGTTAGCGATTCATGACGAGCCGGCATTCCAAGCTATGGTTCCAGCATTCAGTATTTATTACCCTACATCCACTTCTCAGGCAGCTGTCACACCCTCTCTAGTTGCGTTGTTGCCCTCCGCTCCCACTATACGGTCTCGTATCGCCACAGCTGTCGAGGAGACCATGAAGATGCGGCCGTGCTTCAATGTGAAGCATTTTCGTACTCGGACAGAGAGCATGTTTGCCTGGGCTAAAGAGGAGGACGGGCGAGGCGCCGCTGGAACAAGTGCAAGTAATGCAAACGCGAAGGCTGATCTAGCGAGGTCCATCTTCTTCCCGGCTACTTGCGCGCAGATTCCCGTCACCCCAGGACCACGACCTGCTCCTACGTTGTCTTTCTTTGCCTCTGTCTCGGTCGCATATGCTCTGGGTGTTTTAGTCTGCAAGGAAAACGAGTCAACCAGTGACATTGACACTCAAAAGGCGGGCGTAGCGTCGAAAAATCCTCGTCTGGAGGATAACCGTGCTGCTCCTTCCCAGAAAGCTGCTGCATGGAACAAGTATTCTGCTTCGGGACTATTTGCGTTATCAAGACAAGCTATGGTCGCTTTCGAGATGGTGCATACATACGATCTGGACGCCGTGGTCACCTACCTTCTACAGATTATCTACTTGCTTCATGACAGCCGGCCCCGTGTCGCACATTTTCTTTATCCGCTTTTGGGGAAAGTGATCCATATCGGTCAAATGATGGGCCTTTCTACGGATCCAGACGAGTTCCCTGGCAAGTACAACCTCTTCGAAGCTGAGCAGCGGAGACGTATTTGGTGGGACATTTATTATTACGATGTGTAGGTTGCCTCACGTCCTGCTTTTTCATGATCTCACAACCCTCATTTACAGCTTTGTCTCCGACGCTATCGGTCAGGCACCTTCCATTCAAGATGGGACATTTACCACGAAGCTACCCGCTGATGTGGATGAGGAGCAGTTCGGACTGTCTTCTACCTCTCTACCTCTACCCCTCCCCCGTCGAGCCGGTGGTGATCCGACGGAAGTCGGCTTTGCTTACTTTATTCAGAAGTGTCGGTTCGTCCTTGTGGTCTCTGCATCTTATTCTGATCTCTCACGTGTCCCCTAGTCTTGCGCAGCTTGTGAAGAGCGTAAAGAGACGATACATTCGTGATGCCCCCAACGATTCATCAGAGTCTTCGGTTGAGCGTGCGGAGCAGTTCGAGTCTGAAGTTAAAAATTGGTTATCAGAGCTCCCGACAGTGTTCCGCCTTGACACTAGCAATACCGACACTCCTTCGCCACGCTCCTCTAAAGCTTCCGTCTCACCAAATCTCCAAGCCCAGCGCTGCGAGCTCGCGATCATTGCCAATCAGCTTATCTTGAAGGTCTTCCTTCCATACCTCAAGAATTGCAATGTGCCATCCGCAGATGGCCTTCCTCGCCGTGTCGTATCCAGCGTCGTCGACGCAGGGCACACCATTCTTCAAGCCATGCGTATCCTCCACTCAACGTGGCGACACGCGCAGCCTGCTGCGTTCTTATTCTATTCTTTCGGCCGCACGTTATTCGACACGGCCGTGATGATGGCGTGCGCGGTCATTGCCCACCCATCAGGCGCGTCCTCTGGCGTGGCAATAACAGATGTCGCTGCAGCGATTGATATTATGCGGGATACGCGAACGGGTTCTGGGAGGAAGCCTAAACATGATGATAGTAAAGAACTCTCCGAAGCCGTGAAAATCGTCACATTACTGAAGACAAAGGCCGAGGCGAAGCGTGCCGGGGAAGATATCGTAGCCCACCCCCACTCGGCTATTGGTGCGAAGAGGAAGCGCGATGATTCTCCCGATCCCAACAGCTTCGCGGATGATTTCGAGCTACCTTACGTCGGTGTAGGTGTCAAGGCGTCGCATCAATCGACAGAGCCAAGGGTCGAGACCACGCCCAAAGCGCCAATCTCGATGCCTAAACTTAAAGGCAAGCAGCGCCCGGTCCCCACGACGATAGACTTGTCTAGTGCATCGGAAAGTTCCTCTCTTGCCGAGAGAGACGGAGGACAGGTTCCAGTCCGTGGCCGTCCACGCACGGATTCCACCTTCCACCGCAGCTCTTCGTCGAAGAAGTACAACGCTCCCACCACAGCGCCCACACATTCCCAATCTAGCACTCCCGCTCCAGACCAACCTGGTTTTCATCCTATGCCTGAACTCACCCGACCCGAATCGCGTCCCCAAATGTGCACATCCGATTATGAGACCTCGATCTACACACCTACATCGTCCTATGAACCATCACCGCATTTTTCCATGCCACCTTCCATGCCACCGCCTCAAGCGCCACCTATACACGCTAGTCCAAGCTACGCGAGCATTAGCGGGAGCGGGAGTTCATCCCAGTCGAGTCCGGCGTATTCACAGGCACCAATACCATCACCACATCCGTATCGGCAGCAGGGACCAGA